CTCTCTCTCTCTATGTATCACTTCTATTTCACTTTGTCTCCTCATCTCTCTCCCTGCCTCTTTCTCTCCTTCCCTCTCTCTCCCTTCCTCCCTCTCTCTTCCCATCTCTCTCCCTCCCTCTCTCTCTCCCACCTATCTTATTCCTCCTGCCGATCCCCCTCTCTCTTTCTCTCTCTCTCCATCTTTCCCATATTCTTTCTATCTCTCCTCTCACTCACTTCCCTGACTCTATCTCTCTCTGTCTCCATGAATCCCTTCTATTTCACTTTGTCTCCCCATCTCTCTCTCCCTCCCTCTTTCTTTCCCTCCCTCTTTCTCTCCCTCTATATCCCTCTTTCTCTCCCTTCCTCCCTCTCTCTCTTCCCATCTCTCTCCCATGTCCCTTCTATCTCGTTCCTCCTCTCGATCCCCCCCTCTCACTCGCACTCCCTCTTTGCCATGTTCCTCCTATCCCAGTCCCCCTTCTCTGTTTTCACTCACTTCCCTGACTCTCTGACTCTCTCTCTCTCTCTCTCTCTCTCTCTCTCTCTCTCTCTCTCTCGCTCGCTCGCTCTTTCCTTACCGTCATTGTCTGTCTCCTGTGTCTCTCCCTTTGGAACATCCTATAACCCGATGTGTAGTCCGGCACAGGATATCATGTTCTAGCGGGGCAGGAACACCGCCACCTCCCGTGATATATCGTGCACTACACTTACGGACTAATGTCCACAGTAATTGACGCTCCCGGAAAACTGAAATAATCAGTTTCCTTCTGTCTCTCACCCTCTGCCCCCCCCCCCTCTCTCTCTCTCTCTCTCACTCACTCACTCACTCACTCACTCTCTCTCCGTCTCACTCCTTGTCTCCCTCTGCCTTTATCTACGCTTCCCTTGTTTAGTCTGATTCTGCCCGTGTCTCTGAGTCTTTTCCATAATTCCTCTCTCTGTCTCTCCCCAGTTTTTCTGCCTCCTACTTCTCCTTTTCTGTTTTTTACTGTCTCCTTCTTCCAGTCTGCGTTTCTCTCTGTCTCTTCTTGCAATCTTCTCCTATTCTAATTTTAAATACTTAATTTTACTTTTTTCGCTTACTATTTAAGTATTATAAATGATGTATTGTAATGCTGCAGCGATAAAGTGGAGATTTTTCGACAGAAAAACTCGTACTTTGGGTACCTGTTACCGAGAAAGTAGTGTTCAACAAAACGTCTGTCTGTCCGACTGTGAATAAAACTAGCGCCCAAACCGCTCATAGAATTTCTTTAAAATTGTCGGCGTTCCCCGACCGATCTGATCTATCAGCACTAGAGGTCTCACGAGTTTGAGAGAAATTTATAAATTTGGAGGCAAACAAATCTTTTAGTTTCATCGATAATTTCAAAATTTTCTCAAAAATAGTTCCATTTTTTTCTCGAGCAGAGCAAAGTACACTCGTTGAATTCTCAGTATTTTCGAAAACTCCAAAAGTTAATTTTTTTCGATGTCTTCCTACAACTACAATAATAATAACATTTTTTTTTCTGAATGAAATCTGTTCCTCAAAATGAGGTTTTTAAATAATGTCACGTAAAGTATTAACAAAATATTAGAAGTTTTCGTATAATTGTGAGTAAGACGCTTAAAAAAAATACGTAACAAGGTTTTCTCGAATCTTCAATTAAAAAAAAAAAAGGCTTTTTACTTGAAATCGTGATATTTTCGTTAAACCTCTGAATTTTCGGGCATTGAAAATGTTCGCCATTGTTTTTAAAGGTTCGGGAAGGACATTATGGTGACTCAAGCGACTGTGTAGGGGTTGCGCTAATTACTTCAGAACCTAAATTTTCGAGTTCGAATCCCAGTGTGCTTAACGATTGGAAACACTTTTGCCGGGGTATCATATACCGTTACAAATGCTGCAAGAAAGTACGTGCTGTTTCAGTTTCTTCGTTTGAATTGTTTGTTACCTGTAATAGTTATTCCTCTTCCCTCATTTACTAAATGATTGCTTTGCCATTGGCCAGGTGGTCGTGTGTCGGCAGCTGACCCCAACGATTTGAAACGAGCCGTGCAGGGGATGACCATCTCGCAACAACAGCAGCAACTGCAAGGTCTCGGACCTTATGGGGTTCAGAAGGGCATGTCTCAGCAAGGAAGAGGTGAGTTTACATCGCCTTTAGAGATTAGGACAATATCTGTGCATGCCTTGTCAGTCCGTCTTCTTCCAAGGAGGGATGCGACGTCGATGTCGGTTTTCGAAACTTCCATGTTTTGCGTTCGATGTTTTTACGCTGTAGATCTTTTTAAAATGAAAAAAGTCCATGATAAAAAAATTAATAATAATTTTCAGATATCCATCAGTTGAATAATTTTCAGACCAAAGTGACTAAGGGTGAATAATCGAGTTTTCGTCAAAATAGGAGCCTCTATAGTTTTTGAATTATCGAATCAGATAATCCGAGTTTTGCTAATTGTCCTGGCGATTTTTTCCCTTTGTTTTGTCAGTTAAATCTCGATTAAAATTTAATATCCGAGACCACTTTAAAATGAAATTACTCCCCTTCCCCGACACGTGAACTTCAATGGTTACTAATTCAGTTTTAAAAACATCGATTTTTTTAAACTTCATGGCTTTGGGTCGATGTTTTAATTTTGAGCATCGATTGGTATGTCACATCCCTACTTCTGGACGACCTGGATTTCGGTTTTCTCGGGGTTGACATTTCATTTCTTCTTTTGGGACTCTTCCATCTGTCATTATTTCTACGGTTTTTTAGTGTTATTTTTATTTTCTTCTATACGTGTTGTAAATGGGAAAATAAGTTCATTTCGTGGGTCAACATTTCTTTTAATATTGAGTCTAATGCAGCCTTAGCAGATCCCAGAAAACTCATCTCTGCTGCATGTACTCTTAACCTAACTTTCTTGATAGTGGCTTACAATTATGGGCCTTAGAGAAGTGTAGGTACTATTATTTTGTAAAATTTTATTCGTTTTTTTCCTTGTTTTATTTTTTATATTTTTTAACACATTCACCAATTTATGTGATTTATTTTCTATGTATTCATCCCACTCATAAGGAATATTTACACTAGACTTGGCATCATTTTGTTCAAGAATATTCCTTCCTCTTTCTTGCCCTATACTTACCCCCTTACACTCACACACACTTACATGCACTACACAACCACACATGTAGAGAGACCAGTCGAAGTTTAGAGGGTTTTTTTCCTGGCTGGGGAGGTGCCCCATTGGTGGGAGATACCTGGTGAGGGAAATCCGTAGATGGCAACCAGGAAGGGGATCGGACCAAAAACGAAAGGTAGCCCTGACTGCAAAGAAAAGGGATCATATAGTTTGGTAGTACACAAGAGAAGCTGAGTGAAGCCAAAACAGCATTTTGATAAAACATTCAAAATGTTTGTATTGGCTGGACTCGAGGAAGTTTTGTGTTTGTTGCAGAGGCCGCAGGTCTCTAAGTTAGCTAGAAACTCTGCTAGCAAAGCAAATCAAATTTACCACAATTAAAATAAAAATAAAGAAAACAAAACATTTTGACACCTTACGTAACCCAACTTCCTTAACACCTACGTTTCAAATCACATACATCTATACCACACAATCCTCATATTCCATTTATCAATAAATGCTTTAAGTGTTTCTATATTTAAACCAAAGTCTTTGGGGGCAGGATAGCAGGGAGACCTGAAATATTTAAGTTGCACACTATACTTGGCATCATGCAATACACATTTTTATTAATATTTAGTTTTGTATTGTAAAGTACTATTATTGATTGGTCACAGCAGTTTTAATCACATTTTATCGAAATATATTTAATGTTCTTTCTCTGAATTTTGCAGATGGCTATGGCAAAGTAATTGGCGAGAGGATTCTTCAAGACCATAAAACTGGTGGTTTAGTTCACGGTACAGGCACTCAGGATGACTTCCATGCTAAGCCAACCGGTGTGCCGGCCAACAAAATCAACATCAAGGACAAGGAAGAGTTGTTCCTACCAGAATTTGCTGGTAGCAAATCGGATCCTAAATATCAGACACTTCCTTACAACACCAAGTTCACCGTAAACTACCTAGCAACAGCTCAGAATAAAGCGGCCCAGGATAAACAACGAGAAGCTGCTGATGACAGACGGAATGAAGATAATCACAAAAATGTTGTCAACAACATTAACAATATTAATAACAATCTCAATAACAACAATCATAACAATGCTTTGCAACAGCAGCAGCAACAACAGCATTTGATGACTGTAAGTATTACTTGAATTTACATCTTGCTACCAGCCTAGCATTAAATAATAAAATATGAAGTCTTTAGCACCAGGGCAGGGATGGTGTTTGTATAAGTGATAAACCAATAATTTCATTATCCATAAGACCTTGAACGGTATAAGTTGAATTACTCAAAACAAGCATTATATAATAAGATTAAATGTAGCAGATCTCACAAACAGTGGTGCTACAATATATACAACAACTTTATTGTGGTATTTGTAAGTTTTTCAATTTTCAAACATTCACAGAATTCAATGAAAATGAGACCTGTGCCGTTTTCATAAGCATACTGCTCTATCATTGCCACAAGATCTAAACTTTCTTATTCCTGAATAAAATATCATTTTATTCTGTGACATAAATTACAACTGGTAATTCAAATTCAGTAGCTTGGACACCTTGTTGCTTTTGTAAAATACTGTTGTGACTAAAGAAGAAAAAGAAAAAAAATTAAAAAGCAAAAAATGAGATTTTAAAGGAAATTTGTCGAAACAAAATTGTATGGAATAAATTTTTATTTGTCATTATACCAATTGCCGTTTGATGGCAGATTCTTGATGGCTATTTCAAGGACAGAGATTGCTATAAAATTTCACTCTCTTACACAAAATAGTTTTTTTGCATTACAACACTATCCTGGAAAAGCAACAGTTACCACCAGGTGTGAAACATTATCCCTTGTGAATAAAACTTCATTTTACTCTCTTGTACCAAAAATTACTTTAATGTAACTTAAAAATGATTTGTGATTGGGGGCCAGGATTTGTTTAAATTTTATTTTATTTTTATTTATTATTATTATTATTATTATTATTATTATTATTATTATCCAACAGGCATATAATGCCTAAATATATAAAATTTCATATATACATATTCGTTTGTCATATAATAAGTATTGTCAATTGTTGCATATCTATCCAGTGAAATCTAATATGAGTTGTTTGATCATTTTAGTGCTTACCAGGGAGGAAAAGGATTAAAATTTAAGCCAAAGGAAAGGTTGAAAATTTTTGGGTTTTTTGTCGGGGAGTAGAGGGAGAACAGGGTGAAGAATTTGGAATGAGTGAGTGAAGAGAAACAGAACTTAGCGTAGGAGTAGTTGGAGCGAATGAAAGAAAGTGAGTGTGGAGGAAAAGCAGTGAAGGATGTAGTGAGTGAGAGAGAGAGATGAAAAGTGTGTGAGTGAAGAGGTGAATTAGATAATGAAGGATGTGGAGAGAGAGAGAGAGAGAGAGAAGAGGGGGAACAGTGAGTGATGCGAGAAGGAAACTGCGAAGGGATGAGTGAGTGAGTGAGTGAGTGAGTACGTAAGTAAAGGAATTGTGGGGTAAAGGTGTGAATGAGGAGTGTGTGACGTGAGTGAGCGGTTGAAGAGTAAGAGAGGGAGAGAGAAAGGCTGCGTCTTGCGATTCGTCTTTCTGCATAAAGTTGAAAGACGAACGCGTAGCTTTGAAAGGCTTCACTTGTTTCCTACGCTTGTTTCATGGACAATTAATTATATTGTCGAATCAACAATGCCATCGATACATGTATCCCGTGTGTCTAAATGATGTGTATATTGTTATGCGACCAATGTGCAAACGCCTAGAATTGTGAATATTCGCATGCTAACTATGTAGTGAGCGACTATTGCTCATGCAGTAATAGTGGCGACAGTTGTTTTTGCAACTAGTAGTTTGCGACCATGGTCTTGCATACTATTATACTTCGAATATAATTATAGCAGTTCACCAGCTGTTAGGTGTCCATCAAAATTGGAGCTTGAACACTCAACAGATTGACGTACCGCAGTGCACGTACACGATGTCACCGTAACAGTGACGAACTGCCAAAGGACACTTTATATAAATAAAATCGACGTATAATAATTGCCTCGTGCAGTTTAGTTGCGCTCGCATAGGCGAGTACACCTTCATGTTATACTTCGGGTTTTATAACGTGGCGGCGACATCATGGTGCATTTTTTACAACGCTCGCCGCCTTTATAAAACGAAACTTTTTAAATTATTTTGCGGGTCAATCTTCTCAACGGGGCTCACGACGTCAGACATGGCATACTATGTTCAAAAGATTCATTTTATTTAAGGCAGGAGGTGTGTAAAAATGACCTATAGTATCGGCCACAGAGAGAGAGAAGAGAGTGAGAAGAGAGAGAAAGTAGGCGAGTGAGAGAGAGAAAGTGAGCGGAGTGAGAGAGGGAAAGTGAGCGAGTGAGAGAGGGAAAGTGAGGCGAGTGAAGAGAGAGAAAGTGAGGCGAGTGAGAGAGAGGAAGTGAGCGAGTGAGAAGAGAAAGAGAGAGTGAGAGAGATAAAGTGAGAAGTGACACAGAGAAATCAGAGTGATAGAGGCGTGAGGAGTGAGATGAGATAAAAAGAGAACAGTGAGAGTGGACAGAGAGGAAGGGTTGAGAGAGATAGAGTGAGAGTGAGAGGGGAGAAGTGAGAGTGAGGGAGAGAGTGAGAGGGGTGGAAAGTGAGAATGAGGGAGAGAAATGAGAGAGACCAGAGAGAAAGTGAGCGAGACAGAGAGAAAGTGAATAGAGACAGAGAGAGAAGTGAGAGACGAAAGTGAGAGTGAGAGAAGAAAGTGAGAAGTGAGAGAAGTAAGTGAGAAGAGAAAGTTGTGTTGTGTTGTGAGAGAGATGAAAGTGTGTGTGTGAGAGAGAGAAAGAGTGTGTGTGTGTGTGTGTGTGTGAGAGAGAGAGAGAGAAGAGAGAGAGAGAGAAGAGAGAGAAGAGGCGAATTATCCGTGTGGCCGTCTTGGCAGTACCACAAGCTGATACGCCGGCAGAGCGCGCGCGTGGCGCTGCAGCGGGAGGCGCTGGCGCGGCGCCAGGCGCGAGATGCGGCGCCGTGGACGCGCGCATCGGCGAGCTGCAGGCGCGCCTGCAGCGCAAGCGCCTGCTCCAAACGGCGCAGCTGGCGCAAGCAGGCCAGCTACTGCAGCAGCAGCAGCAGCAACAACAGCAACAACACCAAAGCAGCAGACAACAGCAACAAGCAGCAACAACAGCAGCAGCAACGGCGTTGCAGCCGTCAGGTGGGTCCCGCGTTCAGTCGTTCAGTGCCTCTCGTCTTCTCTTATTTGATTTTAATGTATGGAGTAAGTGCTTAATAAACTAAGTGCTCATTCAATTTGTGGCCACTGTCATTGCATTATAAATTTTTTTAGCATTCAGCGATTAGTCATTCTTCATTTACTTGTTATTTCATCCTCTTCTATTCGTTATACACTCAGGAAATATTCATCGTTGATTGCATATCATTCCCTATTCAATCTCATTCAATTCAAGTTCATTTGTCATTCTTTAATTCAGTCGTCATTCGCTCATGCTTTCATCATTCGCTCGGTTTTATTATATTCGCTCATTCATTTATCGTAGACGCATTCATCATTCGCTCATTTGTTTACTATTTGATTAAAACTAATTATTTTCATTCTCATATATTCCTGCGTTAAATTACGCAAACTTCCCACGACAATATCGGAAGCAATGTGTCGAAATTTGCTGTGATTCTCGATATGATCCAAATATCAATATCGTATTTTGCGTTAGATATTTTGATGATAAGGGAGTTTAAGCATGGGAAAGCGTCATAAGCAATCGATTTCGCGCATGTGCAAGTTCGTGTTTCGGCATCACTTTTAAGCATTCTGAACGTCACTTTTGTTGCATCTTCGCATTCGCAGTAGGTCGCAGGGCTTTCGATATCTTGTTACGCTGTGCCGAGTTTCAACTCGCCTTTTGATGCCGCCAAGTACGGATTCTAAGCAAAGGCATCCGTAGCTTTCGCTCAAGTACCGGGATATCTTAAGCAAAGACAACGCTAGCCTTTCAAGTTCCGATATGCGAAAACAAACATCACTTAGCTTTGCCAAGTAACGATATCTGAAAGCAAGGGCATCGCTAGCCTGTTGCCAGTATCCGATTCTAAAGCAAAGGCATCGCTAGCTTATGCAAGTACGATATCTAAAGCAAAGGCATCACAGCTTTTGCAAGTACCGATATTCTAAAGCAAGGCAGCGCTAGCTTTCGCCAAGTCCGATTCTGAGCCAATGCTCACTAGCACTTTCCCAAGTAACTGATGTTCCTAAAGTTTAACAGCATCGCTGCCCTTGCCAAAGTACCGATATCTCAAGCAAAGACAAACGCTAGCTCTTTCCAAGTGCCGATATCTAAACGCAAATGCCATGCACTAGCTTTTTCCAAGTATGATATGAAAGTAAAGCATCACTATGCTTGCAAGTACCGATATCTAAAACAAAGCCATCGCTAGCCTTTGCCAAGTACCGATATCTAAAGCAAAGGCATCGCTAGCCTTTGCCAAGTACCGACTATCTAATGCAAAGGCATTCGCTATAGCCTTGTTTCGTACTCATATCTAAAGCAAAAGCATCACTAGCCCTTTGCCAAGTAACGATATCTATTGCAAAGGCATTCGCTATGCTTGACAAGTACCGACTATCTAAACAAGAGGCATCTCTAGCCTTTGCCAAGAACCGATATCTATAGCAAAGGCATCGCTAGCCTTTTGCAAGTACCGATATCTACAGCAAAGTGCATCATAGCCTTTGCAAGGACCGTTTCCTAAAACAAACGCCCACTAGCCTTTGGGCAAAAAATTTTAAACGATTAAAAATCACAAGCAAAGGCATCGCTCGCGGGATGAAGCAGTGAGTCCGACCGTGCGTGTGTGCGTGCGTGTTTGCAGCGCGTTCGGCGGTCGTCGGCGCGCTGGGCGGCGGCGTGGGCGGGGTGGGGCGCTGGCGCGGGGCGCGGGCGGCGGGGCGGCGGTGGGGCGCCGGGCAACGGGAAGCCGCGCAGCGCGGGTCAACGTGGCGCGGTGGAGCCCTACCACGCAGTGCCGTGGCCGCGTCGTCTCGGCCGCTCGCAGCCGCCCACGCAGCAGAGCCAGCAACAGCAGCAAGTTTCAAGGTGCGTGCCCCTTGTCCGGGCGTCCAGCTCGATCCC